TTCGCTCCGATGATGTCCGTCATATGACGGACGAAAGCTTAGCATCTTTTTACAGGAATCGAATGAGATTGCCTCGGAAACAGCGTCAGCATGAATGTTTGAGTAAAACAACTCGAAAGCTGGTCAAGAGGAATCCACCGTCGTCTTCTGGTGGAACCGACCTTCGAATCTCTTTACCCAACACTTCCACTCGAAATGGAAGTAAGCTCAAAAATAATGAAACAAGAGACTCCTCAAAACCCAACTTTTCTTCGCATATATTACGTCGTATTAAAGCCAAACGGCTGCAGTACAACGGGAATCAGCTGTCGTCTTCTAGCCAGATCGACGTACGAATCACTTCTTCCTGCACTTTCATAGAAACTTAAAGTCTCCATAACTATTCTAAACTGCTTTCGATATCTAATACCAAGTGAGTTGCATGTGAAAACTACGCAAAAGCCGATGGTAATGTCTATTTATAGAGCCAAGTTGCATTTTCTTTTAGAGCTTACATCATGGAATGGGCTTCTCGACGATCCTAAACTTTATTTGTATATCACCTGAATAGATGTGCACACACAGACGCAAACTTCCGGATATATGCAGAAAAGCTGGGTTTCACAGATTCCCTTTATCAGTTAGTGTGAATCGAGTCATCCTTTGAAGTAAAAGTTGACTGGAAGGACGTCGTCAATTGGTCTCATCTTAAAGCGCAACAAGGTTCGTCTTGAAGAAGTGCGAAGACTGATGGATTGTGCGAACAAGCCGTCGGTTTATCTTCGTGCGATCCCAATGAAGCGAATACTTCTTCAGACAGCCCAACAGATTTCCCTCCTTCAAGACAATCTTCCTTCGGTTTCAGCTAAAACCAATTCACCAATTCCTTCCAGTCAGCTTTTCCCTTAAAATGAAGAGTCATGCCACACCAATTCACGGACTTGTAAATGCACACATGTGCCCTCTTCTCTACTGGCACTCATGCGCACAGACGAACACTTTCCTCCAGGGTTACCGCGAGCAACGAGACGAGCACCCGAGACTGTGCCGCCAGGGCCTGCGAGGCCGCCTCGTACGACAATCCACGCCTCGACCTCGGCTGCTCCAATCCCGCCGGCCTGTGCCAGCCTCCGTTGGGGTTTGAGACGGCGTCGGACCGAGCCCCGCGGCTAGGCTCCTCCGACGATGACATGCTGATCGCGCCCTGCCTCTGCGACGGTACGCTGAAGTATGTGCACGAACGCTGCCTGCAAAAGTGGATCGCCGCCAGTGACCTGCGAGTCTGCGAGATCTGCCAATTTCCCTTCGTCATGAGGATCTCGCCGCGCCCACTCCTTCGGGTTAGCTTGAATTGTCTGGCTTGTTGGCCCTGTTTTTCCCACCCCCCTATCTTTTTTTGTTAGTGTGTTGGTGCTGTTTTGGTAGACCACCATTTCTGGCTCGCATAAGATGATAATGAACGGATCAATGTATCGAGGCTTAGCCGTGTTTCCCAAAGGGTACTCTCATTCCGGCTCGACTTGACTATCGTTTCCAGCCCGCCCAGGCCTCATCAGAACCTCGAGCGGGACTCGAGCCCGAGTTGTAGTAGATTAGCTTATAGTCTCGACATGTTTTGACTAGGTTTAAGGTTGAACCACTACGTGTGTGGGTTGGCACGCAAGAGACTATGGCATGGGAAGTCATAGACTTGGTATTAGAGATAGAAACAGGATAGACGCGGCGACGATGGGAGCTAGTG